TGGGAGGGCAAGGGCCCTGGACAAAACTTTTTCTATCCACTATTCCTTCACAAGCCAAGTTGACACACTGGGAGTGCCTATCCATTTTTGCACTGTTGGGATGAAGTACTGCAAGCAGCTCAGAGCAGTCTGACTGAGCTGTTCCCAACTGCCCATCCCTGTTTCAATGCCACCTTCCATTTCAGAAGTCAACAAAATCCTGCACCAGCACCTAGGGGCCCCTGAAGAGCGTCTGGCACTCCACATCCTCAGGACTCAAGGGTTGGTCCCGGAACACGTGGAAACGAGGACTTTGCACAGCACCTTCCAGCCCAACATTTCCCAGGTGAAGGGGAAGGCTTATCATCTACACCCCAAATGCAGTGGCATTGGCCCAGTTGTCACCCATGGACCACTCAGCTTTCGCCAGATGAGCAGGGTCTGGGAAAGTGACTGAGCTTGGCCTGGCTTGGAGAGCAGGTGCCATCTGAGGCTAAAGAGTCAGGGAACCAAGATCACAGTGCACAAGATGGCAGGTCACAAGGACCGTGCACATAGTGATGAGGGTAGGCCAGCAACCAGAAGATGAAGAGCAGTTTCCAGAGAAGCAAAGCAAGACATGGCCAATGATGAAATAGACTATGTGGCAGCTTGTTATAATAAATGTTTCCAGGGCTTGTCTGCGGACATTTGGGTCCAGTAGGTCTAAGTTAATGTCAGGAATGTACCTGTAGAAGTTCTGATACAGTTGGCTAGGAGGTCACACTTCAGTGCGAATGTTGTTAACACCAACTGTGAGACTTCGGACAAGCCTATCACTAAGGAGTGACCACAAGTGACCTGACTTTACTGTATCATTTTGTCGCTTCTTGCTTTTATTCTGTGTCACATTTCCATTTCTTCCAATTCTTATTCTTCCTCCTCCCGCTAAAGAGCCTATTTCTCTTCCTTTATTCCACCTCTCAAAGGTAGAAAGAGTCTCAGTAAATGAGAGTGAGAAGGATATTCCCCTGGGAATCCATCATCACTTCTGCCTACAGCATTAGGCACGGACTGTGGCTAAGTCTTAGGAGACCCCTGCATGCCTGATGTCTTGCAGCATGCCTGATGTATTATACAGCCCTAAGCCCTAGAGATCAGTTGGAAAACAATCTGGATCATAGTAATATATATCCCCTCTCAAGAACTCCAGATAATTCATTTACATAGCAATGCATTTGGAAGCCAATCTAGTAGTTTCTTTTTAAAGACCAGTCTGTTTTTGTCTGAAGGCAGAGTCTCTCTAGAACATCCAAAAGTAGTTTGGAGACTATAAGTTGGTTTGCATGGTTGATATAGTTTTTAAATGGTATCCACAGCCTGTCTGGAAGAATATTCCAGTCAGATAGATGGGCTCAGTCTATTTCAGCCAAGGAACTGAGCAGGGTCTCGGCAAGATGGCGGCACAAGTGTGAGTGCATGCCTTTACCCTTGTCCTCCTGTGAGCCTCCTCCTGGGTGGTGGACATTGGTGAGCAAATGGTAGGGAATCCCTATTTTTTAAAACCAGTAACATTTTTGTCCTTATTCAGTCCCTCCTTTGAAAGAACCATGTTGTAAGCTTTTCTTTTACAAAGTTAAATACCATTTATGTTACCCTGATTTTTTTCATTTTGAGGTAAGTAGAGAATTCCTTGGGTGTCACAAAACCAGGACTGATGACAAGTAGGCAATGTGAAGTGATGATGAATAGAGTGACAGCATGAGAACTAATAGAGGGTGAAGGACCCAATTGTTAATCTTTGTGAGAGAGAGAGAGAGAGAGAGAGAGAGAGTGTGTGTGTGTGTGTGTGTGTGTGTGTGTGTGCTGTGATACAAGTGGGCACATGCAGCCATTAGAGACCATGGGTAGGAATGGGAAGTGGCCTAAATGACATTGCAGATGTAAGATTAATCTCTACTTGCTCTTTTACTGCACTTGTTGCCTTCCATATGGACTAATAAATTAGCAAGTCTGAAAAAATAGTCTCATTTAAGAAATATGATAGAAAATTGTAGCTTCTACCACTCACTAGCTTCAGTCCTCTTCATTTTTGGTTGGTTTAGGGAAAACTTCAGATGTGGGTAGATGTTTTCCCCAAGAGTTTGGGACCACCAGGCCCTCCTTTCAACATCACACCCCGGAAAGCCAAGAAGTAAGTAATTTTGAAACCCAGCTACCCTGGACTAGGGACTTGGTCCAGGACCAGAAGAAGAGTACTTCCAAATTGTGTTCCTTTCAGATACTACCTACGTGTGATCATCTGGAACACCAAAGACGTTATCTTGGATGAGAAAAGTATCACTGGAGAGGACATGAGTGACATCTACGTGAAAGGGTGAGGATGGCTTGCAGGAGACTTTGACAAGCTCAGGGACTCCCCTGACTTGTTATTTTAAGTGTCCACTGCAGGATTCTTGATTATTTGATGCTCTTTTATCTAATTACTGTCATCTGTTCTGTGTGTGAGGTACTGGGGCTTGAACTTAGGGCCTATACCTTGAGTCACTCCACCAGTCCTTTCTTGTGATGGGTTTTTTTTTTTTTTGAGATACTGTCTCACAAACTATTTGCCTGGGCTGGCTTCAAACCCCAATCCTCCTGATCTCTACCTCTTGAGTAGCAGGGATTACAGGCATGAGGCACTGGTGCCTGGCAAGAACTGATAAATCTTTCTTCATTTCTCTCTTAACAAAGTACATTTTCTTCAGTTTACTGAACAGATTTGTGATTTCTGAGATTTGTTTTAGCCATGAAGTTTCTTTTTATTCCTCTTTAATACTTGGATAACTAGTCTTAGAAACACAGTAAAGCTTCCAAAATTTCTTTTTCTATACAATTTATTACCAACAGCCAATGTTCATGGAAAACAGGAAACACTGATAGATTTTAAAAAAAAAAATTCATCACAACAACATTTACTAAGTGCCTGCATCCAAAGTGCAAAATGTCATTCATAGTTGTCTGTTATTCTCACTTACAAAATTCAATTTCAAATAGTCCATGCTGATGTTAGTTTCTTTTATGCCTTGACCATAAATTTTGAGTGCAGCATAGCATACTAATTAAGAAGCTAGATTTAGGAGTCAAACTAGCTGGGTTGAAATCCTGGTACTTTCCCAACCAGCAGAGCAAGATCAAGGCTCACTGTTTCTCACATGTAAAGTGGAGACAACGACAGTACCTTCTTCCTAGGAATATCCACAAGACTCAGTTACTCAAAGCATTTAGGGTAGCACCTGATGGATGATGTGCATGGTGTGGGGGTTAGCTAGAATTATTGCTATTCCACATGGACTAAGATTAGATCCTTGATATATAGAAGATAAGACATGTTGAAATATATTCATAAAGTGAGAACAAAGTTTCACTTATGATCCCAAGTGGCCTTCAATCAAAACTCCTGTAAAGACATAATGACTATCATTTAAGCTCACTGTAAGCAGAGAGTGTTTCATCAAGTTCTTCATTATTATTTCTCATCTCAAGACCTCATTACCATTCCCCAAGGAAAACTAATCTCAGCTAATTATAAGTATGCAAATTTATTTGACTATAATAAGATTTCTTTTTTAAATCAAGGAAATAAACTCAAGTAATACTGGACTGAGAGAAAATGCTTCTAATCAAAGAATAAAGCTCAACTTAAAGTACCCTGTAAATTTGGGGTTAAAATCTAAGTACTAGGACTGAGAGTAGAGTGGTGGAGCACTTACCCAACATGCCTGAGGATCAGGGTTTTATCTCCAGTACTGCCAGATAGAGATGGAGATGGAGATATGAGACAGAGAGAGAGAGAGAGAGATCTAAATATTATATGTGAAAAGATGAATAAGATGCATATATACCTAGCGCTGTCCACATATGGATCTTACATGCAAAGCTATACATGCTTACACACAAATATACATAACTGAAGCATTTGCTTGACTTCTCTTAAAATGTGAAAAGATTCACCAAAAAGACAGGAAGAACTGCAGGGAGTGAGAAGTCTGAGGACACTGAAGAAATGGATCAGGAGGTTGGTCATGCATGGCCAAGAAAATGTGAACTCTCTTCCATTAGGTAGTTGAAAAGTCAATGGTCAAAAGAATTTTTTGTTTTCCCCTGAGCTTCTCCAATACTAGGCAATCACTCTATCACTGAGTTATAATCCCAAGCCCCAGAAACCTTTTGACAAATTTATCTAGTCAGTTTATTGACTAGCAAAATGGAAACCTCTTGTAGTTGGTTGGTCTTAATGCCCACAACTAACATTAAGGACCTAGGGTTAGCAAATGACATTATAGTTTCCATGGTCCTTTGAGGCAGTGTATCAGGCATGGACTTTGAGTTAGTCTGACCTGGGAGTGCAACTTAATTCTGTCAGTTACTGGCTACATGAGCTGGTGAGTATTAACAAGTCCTCTCTGAAGCTGCATTTCCTCATCTGTAAAATAGAAGTCATTGCCCAGTTGTGGGGAAGAATAAACTAATGCATGCTAAACTCCTGGCTCATAGATCATGATCACAGACCGGAGTTAAGGATTTCCCTCTTCCCACTCTCCTTCTCTGAGCCATCATATCTCATTCTGTCCTCATGTTCAAGGAGGACAGATGAAACCTGAGGCTCAGAGAGCTTCACACCCAGGCCTGCCTTCTCTCTCTGTCCAGGAATCTATACTTTTTAAATCTCCCCAGGTGACTCTAATGCAATTCTACCACTTAGCCAACCTAAAACCAAATGCCACCGCCTGGTTCCAAACCACGAGTCTTCCCAGAAGCAGGCAAGTGTGACAACTTCCTTCTCAGTGCATTCATTCATTCCTTCAGCAGTTACTTATCTAGTGTCTGCTATGTACCAAGCATACACAGAAGAAAACTTTGAAGGTTAAGATGTTAAGTTGTCACTGAAATGAATGCTCATAGATAGGCATATGGAAATAACAGCTATGTCTTCCTTACCAGACTCATTAATAAGATCATAGAGAATTAAAAAATAATAAAAAAGGAAGCTGTAAGATTACTTGATTCGTGCTTTTTTTGTTTGCTTAAGTAAAATATGGAAAGGAAATGCTAACATTTCAAGCTAACTCGTGTTCATTGAGTCTCTCAGCAGAGATGACAGACACTAATGAGTCATAGTTGTGAAGACTAAAATCATAGCCAACATGCTTCATGTACTCAAAATAGAACCTACATTGTTGATATTTTCCAGAAATTTTCACCTTAGCCCTGTTAACTGAAGTCTAAAGGGTTTCCTGCTTTGGTTTTAGAGGAATTATATTTTATTTGGCTCCAATCTGTGTTGGATGCAATAGAACACCTCCCCTTCATAAATCACCCCCAGCTCATAGACCACTGGAACCTGCCCAAGACAAGGGCATTAATTCTCCGACTCTTCATTCCCCTAATCACTGCACAGTTTTGCAGCTAGATTACTTGTCAATCACATCAAGCTAAATCTGTTTGCCTCTGCTTTTCAGCTGGATTCCTGGCAAAGAAGAAAACAAACAGAAAACAGATGTCCATTACAGGTCCTTGGATGGTGAAGGGAATTTTAACTGGAGATTTGTTTTCCCATTTGACTACCTCCCCGCTGAACAACTCTGTATTCTTGCTAAAAAAGTGAGTTCTGAAAGATGCCAATGGGAAGTGGATATTCTGGGTCTTCCTTTACTCAGAACCTCAGAGAAGGTTGGAGATGCTCAGGACCTTGAAGGTCACGGAGTCCAGATTCCTCTTGGTACAGGTGGGGAATCTGAAACCCACAGAAGTGTAGATACTTGCTGAATGTCACACAGCTATGACAGGTTATTTTTGTCACTAGGAAGGATGAAAAAGGCAACTTTCTTTCCTCTAAGGGAAGGATAAAGGATAGAAGAAAGAATCATATCAATATATATAAAACAATCCACGTATATTTTTATGTGATGGGGCGTTACTTCCTTCAGAAGTACATCCCAAGGGTTTAGGGCCCTTGTGGTCATAATTAGTAAGACCTTCAGTTACAAAACTTAATTCAAACTGCTTAGATCAAAAAAGTGAGTTATTGGTTCACATTACTAAAACATCCACGGTTGGCTGGCTTTAGGAACATCTGGATCTCACATAGAAGTGATGTCTTTAGAAATTGGCCTCACATTCCCTGCCCTGTGTTCTCCCTTCCTCTGAGGGCCTCAGTTCCAGGCAAGCTCTTCCCTGGTGGAGGCAACATGGCAGCTGGTAGCCCTGGCTCACCCCTGCCCTCTCAGCAAAAGGAGAATAAGGGAGACTTGGCAATGCCAGCCAGCATTCTGGATTTGTCCTTGGTGAATCTACCTATTTGAAGTCCCTGAACCAACTAGTGTTGCCCAGGCATGCAGTGTGCAGATTGGCCAGGCTGTGGAGTTAGGGATAGAGTCAGCTCTCTCCAGTTTACACTGACTGGAGAAGGAGCAGTTCTCTAAAGATAATCGGTATGTTCTCATCTAAAAGTGGGGCCTTTAACCTGGGTAGACAGTAACAGATGTCTTCAATAGATCCCCTGTCTGCTTCCTACCTCCCACACTCCATCAACTTTCCCTGGCCCTGCCTACTCACCTCCTCAATCCATACCCTATGAAAACATGCCTACCCTGTGTGCCATGTGATAGGTTCTACCATCTGCTGGTCCTATTCAGTGCTGATACTGTGTGAGCATTTTTCCATGACAGGTGAGATGGATGTCTTCAGAGGGGACTTTGTATAGGCTCATCATGACATCAAATCATGTAGTTTCAGATGGTGAGGTAGAGTGGGGAAGGGGTTAGAGTCAGATAGGCCCTCAGGGACCTTTTCTGTTTATCCACATCTAGGTGAACCTCCATGTTCCCTGAATGGTACTTGGATCATGACCCCACACAGGACAGCCAGGCAGGGACATATGACAGCAGCAGGATAGGCATCCCGGCCCCTCAGAGCCAGGGTCTCTGAGCCCTACAAAGGAGAACATTCCTGGAATATGAAAAAAATAAGAAACAACCCCATGCTGTTCATTCAAATTCCCGAAGCATTGGGGAATTCCTTGCCTGTGACATCCAGAGGAACTTGGGTATAACTTACTTTGGAGGCATTATCTTGGCTAGTACTGTCTGGACAGAGGCAGGGACCAGAGGTGATAACTTGAAGTACTCTGTCCTAGTCTTCCTCTACCTACCTCTAGTGTGAGGGATCTGAGGGTCTTAGTCAACTACAAGTGTAGAAAAGCCAACAGTATTTTTCAAAAGCTAAAAATGCTAAGACCCTTTAAATATGGAATCTGTGCCCCAGTCTCCACTGAATATAAATTGAGAGCCTACTCAGACATGGAGGGTGGGAAGAAGGTTGCTGAGAAGGGCTAACACCCAAATGGGTGACACTGTGGGCTGGCCTAGAATGCCTGGCTTCAGAAGGATAATCCAAGTGGGCCATTGTGGTCTCCAGGGGGCATATTACACTGATAGGAACATGACATGAAACTTGCTGTTTGGGAACTGCCTGGGACATCCTTTTCTGTCACCCAGTTGGTGGCTTTGTGACTTTCTGGGGAGCCTGATGGCCTTCCATACATGTGAAGTAGAAGAATAGGGCAAAGGGAGGAGGTGTCTCAGGGAATGCAGAGATGAAAGGCCTTGTGCCCTGATGCTGTGACCAGGGGCAAATGGAAGGGTTTCAGGATCTACTAATCAAGATCATTTGGTTTGTACATGTCTCTTGTCATTTTAGGAGCATTTCTGGAGCATTGACCAAACAGAATTCCGGGTCCCACCCCGACTGATCATTCAGATATGGGATAACGACAAGTTTTCCCTGGATGACTACTTGGGTATGGCTCACATTCAGGTTGTTTTCTCTAAGAAACTGTACTTGAAGTTCGTGAAATCCATTCATACTTGGAAGAAGTTATTTAAATCTCTATTACTCACCAGTAATGGAGGGCAGGACAACGTGACAGTGAATGTCTCCCCTTTCCATGGGCTCCATCCACTCTCAAGGCTATTGTGGAAGGGCTCACACTGGACAACTCTGTTCTCACAAGATGCCACTGCTCTCTCTCCTCAGCACCTTGGAACCACCTCTCACCTCCTCCATGCTGCTCTCAAAACTAACCAAGGTCCCCAAAAGACCCCCTAGCCACTGCCCTTTCCCCTAGTTCCATCCTCCTCTACAGCCCAAGGCACTCCCACCCAAGACCTCTCTTCCTTGCCTTTCTGACCCCACCACCTCTTAAATCCAGGCCTTCCCTGAAGTTCTCCTGGCTTTTCTTTTTCTACAGTTGCTCTCTCCAACCCAGTGATTTATATATGCTTCCCTTAGTTGAAGGTACAATTCTATTTTCACCTTTCAGCAAAGTATGGATATGTAGCCTGACCTCAGTGTCTCACAGTCATGAGAAATAATTATGAGGGTTATTCCCAATTCACCTCTGCACCTTATATTTAGCTGGCACTTCAAATTTATCACAACTAAATTCAAATTCAGCATTTCTTCCCTGACCTCACACTTGCTCTCCCCATGTACTTCTTTCACTACATAGCCCCTCCAAGACTCCTGCTCAGTTTCTCCTCCTCTTTCCCCACACCCTGGCAGCCACTCAGCCCTTACAGTATAAACCACTGTATCATGCACACTTGCTTCCTTATTTCCGTGAGCTCTGCCACTTGCCAGTTCAGGCCTCATTTTCATGTAGTCAACTGTTGCAGTAGCTCATGGACTAGTCTCCCTGCTTCCATCTTGCTCCCAGGAACCATCCTGGTAGAGGAAAAGCCCATCACTGGCTGTGTCTCATCCCTTTACCCCTCCTAGAACCTTAGTCAGTGCTTAATAAAAGCGGAACAAATAAATGAGTAGGCACTATGCTAACTTATAAGACATATGGGTAGAAAATTCTAGAATAGTAGAAAATTTCCCTTTGGAATTTAAATATAAAAGTCTGACAACTAAAAAGGAGAATGACTAAGTTTCAAATGGCTATAGTGAACAATCACCAGTGGAGAGAAAAGATAAAATCAGACATAGAGTAAAAAAGGCTGAGGTAAACTGTGGTTTATGGATCCATGAAATGATGGCAGGCAGTCTCCACCACAACCTCCCTGTCGCTGCCACTCTTGACCAACTCTGATCCTATAGACTTGACCCCACATCACAGCCACCATTTACTTAAGGAAAGGGCTCACAGAAGTTCCCAAGCCCAAGTGACACTGTTTACTTCCTGTGACAGAGGCACAGAACGGTTAATGCCTCCTGTCACAGATGGGAAAGTGTGCCTCTCCAGATACCCTGATTCTGGCCAGGATTCTCCACTTCCAGTGAGGATTTTCTGTTGAGTTATGCTCCTTCAAGTTCCTGTTCCTGAGTTAGTCTAGGAGAGACGTAAACGTGAATGTTGCATGGAGCTCCCCATGTTCCAAGCACCAGGTGTCTTTACCCAAAGCCAAACAACCTTTCTGTTCAGGGCAGTTCAAAATCAAAATGAGCAAATTTCAAATACAAAGACCCCAAGTTTAGTGAAAATTTTGTTTATCAATGTTCAGTTGCTTTGAATTTACAGAATACTGTTTATGCTTATGTCTTTGAGAAAGTATATAGTCCTCTGAGACACTGAACAGTAGATAGCTGTTTCTTCTGAAATTTTCCACTCTTTCACTGACTCACCCATCACCTGCTCAAAATCACAGTATAATTCTTCTCTGACAAGAACATTCAGCCACAAACAATGGCTGATCCACTTGAAACTTACTTGGATTTAATGTTGTTTCCTTGGCTAGGTTTCCTGGAACTTGATTTGCATCACACCATCATTCCAGCAAAATCATCAGAGAAATGTAATTTGGACATGATTCCAGACCTCAAAGCCATGGACCCCCTTAAAGCAAAGACCGCCTCACTCTTTGAACAGAAGTCCATGAAGGGATGGTGGCCATGCTACACAGATAAAGATGGCACCCGTGTGCTGGCTGTATGAGTATTTCCTAATTGGGGATTGTTTATTCCTCTTATCAGTTAGGTTTTGTCCTTTATCAATAGATTTACTCCAGAAAAGACAGGGAAATCTTAAACTGGTTAAAAACAGTCTGTACCTGGAATTACAAAAAAAAAAAAAAAAAAAAAGGCGGACAACACCAGAAGCCTGTATTTGGAGTTGGTTAAAGGCAAAGAGGTTGAAATGGTCAAAAAATTACAGTAGTTGCACTGTATAATCCTCCCTCACCAGGAAGGTTAATTTACATTGAACTTCCAGTATAATTCAGTGTAGAAAAAGGAACTTTAAATCTGAACTTTTCTCATCTTAAAGAAAAAAAAGTGACTCACACTTGTAATCCTAGCAACTCAGGAGGCAGAGATCAGGATTGCAGTTTAAAGCCAGCCCAGGCAAGAGTTCACGAGACCCTATCTGCCATCAGCAGAGAGGCAGCATTCATTCATTCACACATTCACTCATTCATTCAGCTAATACATATCATGTACCTACTAAGTAGCAGTGCTGCTGTGCACAGTAGGAGAGCAATGTAAGCATGAAGAGACTATGGCCCTGGTCTCTTAGAGCCTCTAGTTAGTGCTCCAAGTACATGGGTCGGTCTGGGTCCACATAAAGGTATAAAAGAAGGTGCATGACAAGGCAAGGAGATTAATGTGGGAACCCAGTAATGATGGCTATGGAGGATGAAAAGCAGGGATGGGGAGAAGCAATTTGTCCTCTCAGTTTCCCACATGGAGTCGATTCAGAAACACATGGAAAAGGAAATGTGAAGAAGTCTCTTGAGGAAAATCTGAGGCAATCTAAGGATTGTTTTACAAGAATAAAAATCATTGCTCAGGGAATACTCCCTGGGTTAAAGTAAAAATATTTGTGAAACGTGACGTCATGTGTTTAACCTGTTCTGCTTTACTGAAGGGGAAAGTCGAGATGACACTGGAGGTCCTCAATGAGAAGGAGGCCGACGAGAGGCCAGCCGGGAAGGGGCGGGACGAACCCAACATGAACCCCAAGCTGGAGCCACCAAAGTGAGAGGCCCTCTTTGTTCTCTACGTTGTCTGGTCCCCAGGCACCTGCACACTGAAAACCCCAATTCCAGTTGGCTTAAGGAAAGGGATTAGCTGTTGGCCTTCTAGTTTTGTATTTGAAAGTGGGCTAAGGGGGATGGAGAGGCAGGTGATGTGGCATTGTTTTAATGTTCTCCTTCCCTGAAGTCCAGCGTCCTCAGCATCTCAGGAGCTGTGATAAGTACCTGAGCCATTCTCAGCCAACGACGTAGCCTGACATTTTCAACATCATTAGTTACGCCTTACAAGTATAGTCTCAGGTAGATTATTGTCCCTCCCAGGATGGGTAGGTAATGCCACTTCTTTGCAATGCAGCCGGCCCGAGACCTCCTTCCTCTGGTTCACCAACCCGTGCAAGACCATGCGGTTTATCGTGTGGCGCAGGTATAAGTGGGTCATCATCGGCCTGCTCATCCTGCTCATCCTGCTGCTGTTCCTGGCGGTGCTCCTCTACTCGCTGCCGGTAGGAAGCCCAGCCTCCTGTCTTGGCTCTGTGTGTGTCTCTGTGCTCGGGTACCTAACATGGGACTCACCCATCCCGCTGCTCAGAAGAATGCCCCATTTAGCAGTCGTGGTGTCCAACCTTCTGCTTTTGGAAATTTTAATGTAATGTGTGCGTGCGTGTGGACTGTAGCCAGTGTTTCCAGCTGACTTCCTGTCTTCCCACTTTCCTGGCCCAAGCCATCCTGCAGTCTAACTTAGGGATCCCCAGCCTGGGCTTGTTCCAGGTCTCCACAAACCCCATACTCCACCCAAACTGGATAGTTAATCCCCACAAAATACTTATTATCCTTACCTGCATGGACACCTTTGCCCACATTTTGTTTATTACAAATCTTATTCTCCCTGGGCCTGGTGGCACCTGTAATCCCAGCATTTGGGAGGCTGAGGCAGGAGGATCATGAGTTTGAAACCAGCCTGGGCTACACATATTAACCTCTTTTTAAATTTCTCTTAATCACCCTAGTTAGAAGTCAGAGTCCGAATGGAAGATTTAGCCATGTGTACAGACATGGTACCTTTATTCCTCCATTCAAGGAATTTATGTAGCCAATTGTAGATAGTCTTGACCATTTAAAAAAAAACTCCATATAGTTATTTCTTCTTCCTGGTTTAGATTCTATGGATGTGAACCAGTGCTTTCCAATTGGGAAGTGGGAGAGGGTTCCCAGAGGCCATTTGCCGGTATCTAGAAACATTTTGATGACATTTTGGGGTGATCTATTGGCATCCAGTGGGTGAAGGCCAGGGATTATGCTGAATATCCTGCCAAGCACAGGGCACTGCCCAACCAGAAAGAGTTATCTGGTCCAAATGTCAGTTGTGCCAAGATTGAGAAACCCTAACATATGTACATGTATACAGCCACTATTTCTTCTTCCTTTTCAGAACTATTTGTCAATGAAGATTGTGAAGCCAAATGAATAATAAAAGCAAAGTCTTCTTTTCAAGAGTCATTCATCAATGAGGGAATCTTGCCTCTGTTTGTAGACCAAATTCAAATGTGACTGTTTGGATCTAATACCATAGCCCACTGGCATGTTGCACTACTTTACCAAAGCCCATCAGCTCCCAGGGGGTCTAAATCCTGGAAAGCCAGGCCAACAAGCAATATTTTTAACTTTTAGAGTATTGAAAGTTTTATTTTCTCATGTTTTTAACCATGTTTTTCAGAATATTTTTCAAGGTGGCTGGTTCCATTTAAAAATCATCTTTTTAATGTGTTCTCCATTCTATGAATCAAGTTTTGGAAATTGCTGAGATGGAATTTGAAAGCTTCTTGCTGTCATTATACTTCTTATTTGTAATCCAAAGAAAAGACTGCATTGTAAAAATAGTTAGACTAGTTGGAGTAATTCTTATTTATGACTGTAACATGTTATGGTATTTTATATGGATAAACATCATAAGATTATATTCAATCTCTGTGATGAATGCAAATAAAAATGTTTCACCTTTTACACATAGCTGTTTGTTATATCTGTGGATGTGGGGGCAGAGCTTCTACTCCCCTCGTATCAGTGAATAGATGCCATAGGGTTCTACCTGACACAAACCCTTTGTAAGTATGCAACCAAATTTCAACCAATGGGTCCAACTGAGACTTACATAATGAATAATAAAAGCTAACACTTATTGAAGGTGCTTATTCTGTACACAGCACTATTTTAAATGCTTTTGTGTATTAACTCATTCAATCTGCAAGGTAACCCCATAAATTTATACAAATAACATTACTTATTCCATTTTACAGTTGAAGACATTGAGGTACATAGATGTTAAATAAATTTCCCAAGGCCACAACAACCATCAAATGAGAGAGCTGGAATTTGGAATTCTTTCTTTCTTAATTTCTCTTAACTATAAGGGTATACCACCAGTGGGATGTCTGTCAAGAGGAACATATTGCTGAGAAGGTCAAGTAATAAGACGGAAACAGCACAGTTTGAGACCATGCCAACACTAAAAATAGTTGGCATGTTTTCTAGAACATGTGAGAACATTGTCCTGTTCCAATATGTGAGAGACCTTGGGGAGATCAATAAACAGTTCAAACAGCAGCCTTGGACTGATGGGAGCAAGAAATGGTACAATGATTACAATGTGTGTACACATTTAGACAAAGTTATACTGCAAAGGTGACAATTGGCATTATTGCTGGTGTTTCTTGTGTTTTTGTCTTTTTGATATTTTAGTTCCCCCCAACATTCTGCCAAAAAATTCTAGCAAAGTGTCTTTGATCATAAAAAAAATTTTTGAGAGACATAGCTGCAGCTGAACTTGCATATTTGTCATCCCCCTCACATTTAGCACCCTCCTCCTACTGAGGCTGCCCACCTGGAAGATGGCCCCTAGCTTTCAGTAGCAGAACTCTCACTCACCTTAAAGTAACATTTAAACACCACTTTCTTCTTGAGTGTCAAGTAATTCTTCAATCTCAGAGGTGGACAAATTAGTACAACCTTTCTGGAGAAATGTATATATTTAAAACCTTAAAATATTTGTGTCCTTTGACACAGGAGTAATTCCATTCCTGAGTATTAACTCCAAGGAAATAATCAGAAAGGCACCAGAGGTCCAGGTCCAAAACCCATGTTACAGTGTGCTTCATAATGGCAGAAAGAAACAATCTAAGTGCCCAGATATAAGGAAATGATTGGATGTATGGTAAAATCCAGTATATTGGTGCAAGAATGAAAACGTCAATTTTTCAAGTTTTGCTCCTATTATAGGAAAATGCTGGTGCATGGGAAATGATAAAAGAAAAGCATAATAAAAATCTGCATAAAATAAGCCCCAAATGCACATTGTATGTAAGGAAATGGCTCAAAATAGTAGCAGTACGAAGAGTTTATGTGAAGTTTATATTCATGCATATTTAAGTAATAATTTATAAATGTTAGTTGCATTGTGGGCTCATGGTTCTTTTCCATACACCACACCACACGCTCAAGTCTGACAAACATTACTATCCTTTGTCTCCACTGGTAGCTCTGAGGTGTGGTTCATCTTCACTACAGTAAGCAGAGGTAACACCTGTAAGATTCACACCCCAGCGTGCCATGGAGCAGCAGGCCTGGATTTATATCCTGGGCCAGGCTTCAGACTCATTGGCCACTTCTCAGAAATAATTCTGCTCTCTGGATCAAAGTGAGGGCTGAATGGAGTTCCGTGTGTAAAGTGCCTTCATAGTGACTAGTGCCCAGCGGGTAGCTTTAGGTATTACACTAGACTGGTCAAAGTTGGATATTTTTGGTTCTAAAAGTAGCTCTAAAAATAGATTCTTTTTCTTATAGTCAGGTAGAACTTTACATAAAACAGACTTATTAAATAGAAGGAAAACAAAAGCAAGACCTAAGGCTGTCTCTATCTTCCCAAAACACAGACTAAAGGAAGAGCCTGATGTTCTGGGAGTGGGAAAAGAGGTCAGCTCTCACCACACCAGGCCCTGCTTGCAGGTCACAACATTTGGTGACAGCAGGGACACTTGCATTGTTCCAGCAGAACAAGGGTATATGTCCTGTGTGTTACTCAGGCTGTTCCAATAGATCCCCTGCTATGGGGCTGGCTGGTAAAATCATGGCTGTCATTGAGAGCAGCCAGGCACACAGCCATCCAACCCTTTTAAGTCACACTAAAACGACATCCGAATTACACTTTCTAACAACACTACATCAGCTTTCTTAGACCTTAACTGGAGGTCTACAGCTTTCATCTAATTTAGGGCATGCTCCAATAATGAAAGAGAGACAGTATTGTTTTAATGTCATTTTTGTGAAGAAAAAGTAGCTTCACCAAAGGGCACAATCCAAGCCACACACAGTGGTGCATCTCTCTAATCCCAGGACTTAGAAGGCTAAGGCAGGACGCTCTCAGACTCAAGGTTAGTCTGAGCTACATAGGGAGAATTTGTCTCAACCAACCAATCAATATAAATAAAATAATAAAAGGATTGTCGTAGGCTCAGATACGACTCGGAATTTTTCCACAGTCAGTACAGCACTGACATGAACCATCAGAACAGGGTCCCAACACATCATGACAGATAAAGGTGATTTTAAAAAGCTAGAATGGCCATACCAGTATACGCAGGCTGAATATTAGCCTTTGTTCCAGGGAACCCTATCAACACACTCTCCACAGTGCTTCACCTGGGGAACAGATGCTGAGTGGATGAGTGCATGGTAAGAAGAGAGTCTTTCCCTTCCATGCTTTCTTTAGACCTGCCTGGCATCCACTAGCATAGTTCTTGGAATAAAATGGCAGTAAAGCTCTATTAGGAGTGAGAACATTGAAACCATGGGGAGTATTGAGCCAGGCTTTCTGGGTAGAACTCCTCTCCCTCCCCTCCCCCAGAAAAAGCTTCATCTTGTCAAAAGATAATGGTCCCTCGATTGAGGTTGTTAGCCGCCTGGTGACCTATAAATGATAGCTGAAAGCTGGAACTAATCACAATCCAGTCAGATTGTTGCTTCACTGTGAATTAAATAACACTTAGTCCTAACTGATTATAGCAAGTACCACCATTAACACTGGAGCCTTCATTAGGAAATACAGCTCCATCAGTGCCATTGGGAGGACAGGGAACTGAAAATCTGACAGGCTAATATTTGATTCAGTTTTAACCTTCTCTTCTCATTTTAAGGCTAGAAAATAAAAAATGTCATAATGAAGCCTACAGGTTGGTTTAAACTTAGCTCTTTAAAAGGTGGACAGAGTTCTGAAAACCCATTTTGGAGCAGAGGGGAACTGAGCTGTCTGGTTTTCCAGGTGCTGGCTGAGTGGCAGCTTTTGCCCCTCTGAGTTCACCCTGGCTTACAGGGTTGTTTGTCCAAGGCCTGTAGCTGACTCCTTTCACCAGAGGAACAGATGTTATTACAAACACTAGAAGGTGACAGCACTTTCTAGAAACTGCCCATTTAGTAGAGGGAGAAGACAGAGCTAGCATAAAATACAACTTGCCTACCATATGGAGAACCAACAGTGACAGTGATTTCAAAGCTTTAAAATCCTCTGGAGTTTAAATATTTCATGCTAAATAACTTCCTTGGTGAGGCCGATACATCCAGTACCCTGGACCATATGCATGCAGCCTCTGAAGGCAGACGGGAATTCCATTCTGAGGAATGCTTTTTAAAGTCTAGTTATGTGGAATGAGTTCATAATGAAGTCGGTGTTGTAAATAGATTAAGCGCCCACCATCTTTGCCTCTGAGTCTTATGTTTGCTCAGCATTGAATGAAAACTCCCTAATCTTTCTTAGGTTAAACATGATGAGGTCCTGAGGAAGATCAAAGAGAAACTAACTTTTCCCTTGGATATACATCTGTGAAATGAAATGCCAGAGTTCATGAAGTTCGAAAAAAACATGAGAGAAACATGTAACTCGGATTACTGCAAAACGTAAGGAATAAGGGGACATAATGGAAAACGCAGGCCCACCCTATGCATGAGTTCACTCATAACTCAGGGTGCAAGTTTGCTGGAGATGCACATTCCAGGTTTTCACTACTTGAATATTGAAGTTTAAAAAAATCATAATTGTTTCGAGCGACTCCCTTACAGTATATTGAATACTTCTTAGGGCAACTCACTTTTGCCAAAACTTATCTCACCTTCTTAAAAAGGGTCTTTCAGTCCTTGACTAGTATTGATGTGCTACTTCCATGAGTTTTCACAAAATCCTAAAGCCAGAGCTGTAATCCTCTCCCATCATATTTCAGTGGAGTCCTGCCTAGGTAATTATCAGGAGGAGAGCCAGAAATGTCCAGCTGGATCCAGATGTAGCACGGCAGCCTCTCTGAGGAGGTTTTGCCTGGGTCAGTGGGATAAACGACATGAATGATGGAATACTGTCTTAGAGCAGCAAGAGTGGGGAGTGGGGGCAGGGGATTCCAGACGTCTGGAAGCCTGTGAGCTCACCCTTGTGACTTGGGGTATCTCCTCTCAGGCCTCTATTCCCTAATTTGTAAAGTAGGCCCTGAGTTACATGGTCTTATCTTGTCCTCCTGCACACACACACACACCCCATTTTATGTCTCTACTTCCCTGTAACTCACTTTCCTCAGATGCAAGATTGGGACAGTAAGCTTCTTAGAACCTTCATGGATGATGAAGAGTAAATGGTTTAATATATGCAAAGATTTTTTAGAACAGTGTTTGAGGCAAAGTAAACATTCAATGCATTTTAGCTATTATCTGATTAGTGTCATTATCCGTAGGGGACGACAGCAGTCAAATAGATATAGGTCAAAAGGTGACAGACATGTTCTGCTTTTGACATGTAGCCTTAGAAAGTGATGCAAATCATAATTGTCCCAAAATGAGGCAAATTTCCCCCAGGTCCTAACTGCACAACCCTAATTAAAGAAAGCAGGTAAAAAAAATGCTAAGAGAGTACAGCAGCTCTCCAAAAAAATTAGATACAGAATATTCATATGATCCAGCAATTGCACTTCTGGATATATGTTCAAAAGGA